TGACGGCTCGCGATAAGGAGCCGGCTCGCGTCGTTCACGTCAAAGAGCCGGCTCTAAGAGCCGTTTCGTTCGCGACCGACACATCACTAACCTGTGCAGCTGTGAGGAAGTCGTTCTGAATCTGTTTACCTGAGTTGATCCGAAAACTGAAGCATTATTTAAAGTTTCTAAACATCCTGACAGGAGAAGAGTCTGCAGCTCCGTCTGACCTCTGAGCTGTGAGGATCTGCGGGCCTCTGGAAGGACACTCGGAGCTCTTCTTTGGATGTTTCTGTTGTTCTGTTCTCTGTGAGGATGATCCCACAGTCATGCTGAGGTCCGGGCTCGGACAGAGTTTCTATCCAGGTGAGCGTTTACTGCCCCGGCAGCGTGTAGACTCGAGTGAAGCCATGACAGAGCCTCCGTCGTGCTTCACAGATGGCTGCAGACTCTCACTATTGGACCTCCTTCTACACACTGAGCATGACGTGGGTCCATCTCTCCATCAGACCTGTTCCTCTGATCAGTTCTTGTGTCATCTTCATACCTCTCTTTAAAATCTCTCATCCATTCATAAATACTGTCTGTTCTTAAACTATGGTTGATCTTAAGCTTACTGTCACTCTAACTCTGAAATATGAAGGAACTGATGACTCTGTGATGAACAACAGGACCTCTGCTGTCTCTGCCACCCAGTCCACAGCACACCAAACTGGACACTCAGCCTCGAGCCCCCACCTGACCCCGTTAACCTCATCCCAAGCGGGAACCGAGCCCTGGCTTTGTCAGCGTTTCTGCAGAGCTGCAGGATGACCTGGTGACCTCCTGTGAGGCCAGGTAAAGAGGCTCAGAGCATTAAAAACCCTCAGGAGCTCATCTGAACACAGAAAGATCCAGTTAATGATCTGACCGTCTAATGTCAATCGAAGCGTGTAACGCTACAGAAACAGACGTGATCATTTCCACAGGCTCCTCCTCCTGCAGCCTGTGGAAATGATCAGAGAGATTTGTGGCGAAGCTAAACACGAGGTTAAATCCTCCATGTTTGCTCCTCCTAATAAGGTAACGATGGGATGATGTCAGGATGATGGTGGTGATGATGTCACGTGTTTGTTTTGGCCGTCTGGATGACGCAGCTGTGGAGTCACGTGGAGCGTCGTTACATAACAGAGCGGGACTGTGGCTGGACTTCAGCTCTCCGTGACCTCATCGAGCAGCTTTCACCTCTTTTAAACTTTATGGTGTCAAACATGTGGCTCTGGGGCCACAACTGGCCGCCACAGAGGATTCAGGCAACTCCACTGTTTTTTCTGTCCCTGGTCAGGTGACCTCAGCCTTCCGGCAACTGTGATTGGTTCGTTTGGAGACCGAACCTCCGGCACCAGCCAGAGTTCTGCTGGAGCAGCACCATCACACCAGGATCTGCTCACAGCTCAGAGGTTCGATCAGGACACACAGCTAATGAAGAAATGACCGGTCAGGTGTTCCTCACCTCCCACCAGCTTTTCCCCTGTGCCTGTAACGCTCACACACATCCAGGGTTCAGAGCGGAGGAGCCGGGGATCGAATCATCGACCTGCCAAGTGATGATGACCCGCTCTGCCCCAGAGAGCTGCCCCACTCATCGTGACCTCCACCACTTCCACGAACCTCTGAGGTCTGCCTGTGGTCCAATAATATCCTCTGCGCACGCTCACAACTGTTATGTAACAGTGCTGCTGACTGAGCCACATGACGTCAGACAGGTATGTGTGTGTGTGTCCAGAGACTGCTGGATAAGGTGTTTGTGGGCGGAGCCTCGCGCGTCAGAGGGTTTGTGTTGTTGTTTTGTTCTTTGTGCACAAACAGGTGAAGGTTGACGGTCTGTTACGTGACGTCGCGCCCGTCTCTGTGACAGCTGCTACGCCCCGAGGACTGCACGCGCTCTGCTGTCACAGGGGGCGGGGGGCTCTATACAAGCTGCCGGACTCCGGACCCGCCCGCAGCTCACAGGCCGCCTGGCTGCCGGGCACCCATGTCCCGCTCACCCCCTCAGATCCACGCCGGCGGAGAGCCCACGGAGAACGGAATGAAGCAGGAGGAGGAGGAGGAGGGGGCGGATGAGGAAGACCTGGACGACGAGCTGGACGCGTCTCAGCTGGAGAGGTTCATTCGGGACCGGAGGAGAGCAAAGTCCCTGCCGGCGTACCCGGCCCTGCTGAACGGACCCCACGGAGCGGAGGAGGGCAGGAAGCGCGTGAAGTTCGCGGACTCCATGGGGCTGAGCCTGGCCCGAGTGAAGCACTTCAACTCCCTGGAAGAGCCGCAGATCCCCAGCAAGGTCCTGTCCCGGCACAGGAGCTTCCCCCTGGAGCAGCAGGACCTCCTGAGCGGCCTGTGCCACAGCTTCGCCGCCGGCCTGCGCGCGGACCTCCCGGAGCTCCGGGACACGGAGCGGAGAGTCCAGCGGCACCGGGTCTGCCTAGAGAGGCTCGCCGCGACGCAGCTGGACGTGCGGGGGCACGTGCGGGTCTTGAGCGGCTGCGCCGGCAAGGAGGTCGGAGTGAGGTACACCTTCAACGGCTGGCTGTCACACATGGACGCGCAGGCGGTGCCCGTGGCTGCGAACGAGCCGGGTTTGGTGGGGGAGCGCTTCGCCTTCACCGTGTACACCCCGCCCCTCGCAGACCCCGGCTCCGCCGTGCACCTCGCCGTTTACCTGAAGTGCGAGGAGGGGGCGTTCTGGGACAACAACGAGGGGCAGAACTACACCGTCAGGTACCGCTGTGTGCCCGGCCACGCGCCCTTTGTCAGCGCCGCCTTCCACGCCACCTGAGCCGTGCATAAACCTCTCCATCTCTGCGTAAAACCTCTCCATCTCTGCGTAAAACCTCTCCATCTCTGCGTAAACCAGCTGTTGGGCACCTGTCACTCTGTCCCGTGCTCAGATCAGTGAAGCTGAGTTAGTCTCAGGCTGCAGGCCCAACACGCCTCACCTCTGTTTCCTTGGTTTTAAACCTTTAGTGCCTTTTTTTAAACCGACCTCTGACACTGAGCCTTTGATGTGTTTAGAGACAGTTCCAGATGTTTCTCTCAGAGGACGCTTTAAACTGCTGACAGTTTTTACAGGTAACCCAACTATCCGGACTCCAGCTCTTGATTTGAAGAATAGATGGATTAACTGCTGAGTGCATTTTCTGTCACGCTTGGGCTTGGTGTGACGTCACAGTGTAATGAAACTGTTTGATTTTTGTGACCTGATTAAAAATGAAGCTGCTCATGTTCAGGATGTCAAGTTTTGTCTTTTTACTCGATGTGTCCTTTGAAACAAATAAAAGTGACGCTGGAAGCCGAAGTCTTTCTGTTTTTCTTCAGTGTGAGATTCATCCTGATTTATTTCAGCAGGACTTTTGTGCTTTGGTTGCATTTAGAGTTTCTTTCATACATAAATGTTTCATCGTGCTTTATTTGGACCCAACGACCTTTGTTGAGGCCGTTATTTCTGTTTCCATGTGTGTTCGTTTTGTGTTGTGTGTGTTTGTGTGCAGATCGTCCACAGGGAAGCTTCTCCATCAGCTGCAGGAGGCGGTTCAGACTCTCAAACGCGCCGTCTGTCGCGCTCACATTAAAGTGGGCGTTGCCTGCATCATTTCAGTCTTCTTCTACACAGATTGGACCAATCAAGAGCCGCCTGCTTCAGTCAGGGTCATCATCAGAGCAGATCAGTTTGCGGCTCTGAGCAGAGGTTGAAGGTTCAAATCCAGCTTTCAGCTTCTTGTTTCTAGAAAGTGAGTTTATAATGGTTCCCACCACTGCCACAGTGGGACCTCCACACTGCTGTGGACACAGGCGAGCGGCTCAGCAGGTTTGGAGAAGGGTCACAGCTGTGAGGGTCTCAGGTTCAAGTTCAGCTTAAGTAAACTCCCCCTTATCTGTGGGTCTGGATTCAGAGTTTCGCTGAGTCATTTTTCTGTGTTTGAGCTCAAACACGCAGCCATGTTTCACACTTCAGAGTCAGATCAGCTCTTCATTAGTGCGCGACAGTGTCAGAGCAGGTCGGCGTGAGCCGGCTCAGCTGGGTAACTCTGGGCCTCCTCTCAGAGGTTCAGATCCCACTTGAAGCTGGTGTTTGGCTTCAGTTCCTCCTACAACCAGATGTTCTCCGTGACGGAGCTGCAGGTCTGGGCTTCAGTTCCTCGTGTCACAGATCAGTGGCGTGGCCAGACTGCAGGGTTGATGTGCGCAGCTCTGAAAGTTTCCTTTTTCCATGAAATGATTCCAGTTTGCTCCCATTTACAGTCCAGCTGCAGGATTTTGGAGCGGCTCGTTTTTATGGCAAAAAGCTTGAATGTTTATAATGAATGCAGTCAGTTTTTAATTTCATTTATCAAATACTTTCCCAACATATATCTAGAGGATAACTGTGATTAGTGCATTTTAACCTGAAGCATCAGCCTCTGCCAGAGCAGCGGGTCTTGAAATGAACATAAATCCGAGCACCATCTGCAGACTCGGGTTCAAACTTCTGATATTTTTGTGTTTGTGCTGTGAGATTCACTCAGTCCAGCATGAAAATGACATGAAAACAACATTTTCTATATTTTAGTGTTAAAGGTTTTCTGCATGCTTTATGTTGCAGTGAAATTCAAACAAATAACATTCTGATAATCTTCTGCCGTAACAGGACGTCTTTACTGTCTTTATATTTGAACTGGTCAGTACTCGGATACTTACACAGGCCTGAGTTCACATAGTTAAACAATGATCACTGATTTTGATGTGTGAGACAAAAATCCTGAAAACAGGTTGATGGACTGAGACATAGTTATAAACTTCTCGGTATATAAACACAGCGGTCGAGCAGCAGACCCACGCTGACAGAATGACTCAGCAGCGTTTCCACAGTCCTGAGCTCGACCCCGTAAACTTATCATGGCGCTCGCTGAAGGTTGAAGTCTGCCAGAGGAGAGAAACTCCATTCGATAAGTTCAAATAAGAGTTTTTCTCTCTCTGCTGCCTGAAGAGGCCCGATGTCCAGCCAGACTGGAGCTTCGTGCACGTTTCACTAAACATCAGCACGCTGGAAAATTTACTCAGCATGCATCATTTTCATTATCACTGTTACAGGCTGGAGATTTAAAATCAGATATTAAAATATGCCATTGATGGAGAGCACTTCAGATATCAGAGGAAGGTCCAAGAACAAATTCAGAGCTGGCTCTTTTTCACCGCTCTGATGAGAACACAGCAACGCTGCACAAACATGCAGCGTCTGATGCTCGCCGTGGCCTCGAGGGTCAAAGTCCAGAGGTCCTCCCGAACTGCTGCTGTTGACCAACCTGAGCACATCTGTTTGGTCTGTCAACACGGACGGAGGCGCCCAGCGATGGAGGAAGGTTTCAGTCGAAGCTGGATCTGCTGCTGCCAGAGTCCACTGGAAAATCAGCGAATTTAAGAATTTAGTCTCAGTCTGTCAGGCTGGCAAGGCCCCAAACACTACAGTATCCATGAGCCTCTGCTGCAGCCTGTGGACACGAGGCTTCAACTTTAAACTCAAACGTTACCTTTACGACTTTTTTGGCACCCAAAATATTTCAAGTCCTGCTTCCTTCAGTTAGGACAGCTGGCCAAGGCAAAGCCGGACCTCCCAGCTAACGTCTGCGAACGTGTCATTCACCTTCTCCTTACCTGCAGATTGCACTGCTGCAATTCATTGTACTTTGGTCTCGACCAGGCCTCCATCCATCGTCTTCAGATGGTCCAAAATGCAGCTGCTCGCCTGCTAACTGGTACCAAACAGAGAGCCTATAACCCCAGTGTTCGCTTCTGTCTCCTACAGGACCCAATTTAAACTTTGACTTTTTGTTTTTAAGTCTCTTAACGCTCGAGCTCTTCTTACCTGTCTGAGCTCCTCTCTGTTCGTGCTCCAGGAACAACCACGAGGTCCAGCTCGGACTGATCTCAGATCTTGTGGTGATAGAGCCTTCTGTGTGGCAGGGCCCAGACTTTGGAACAGTCTCTCTTTAAATATCAGATCTGCACAAACACTTGATCACTTTAAATCACTACTAAAGAGACATTTTTATGCTCTGGCTTTTAACACACTGACCCAGACATTTTGGTCTTATTTTAATAGTCTTAGTTATTGTTTTAATTCTTTTCGTGTCCTATTATTGTTTTACATTGTTTCCTTTTAATCACATTTTTATGTTGTTAAGCACTTTGTGCAGCATCGTCCGTCTGGAAATGTGCTACAGAAATACATGTGACCTTGACGCCCCTAATAATGCTAACGTTGAGCCTTAATGATCACTAGAGACCAAAACAGTTTATCAGGATGTAAACGTGTATATTTTAACCTGGGAGTCTGTGGGGCTGACCCACTGCTGGAGCCTCTAGTGGTCATTAGAGGAAGTGCCGTTGATGCTGCTTGCTCTCTCAGCCTGAGAGGTGATTGGTTGGCTAATCATGGCTGCTTTTTTGTCTTTAGCAGAGTATGTGAATCCTGAGCTTGAGGTGGAGGATGACAGAGGTGGTGCTGGGCTCTGATGTGTATATTTTGGCTGAACGTGCCGTGGGTCTGAGGTCCTGTGTGTGGAAGCAGCTCGTGCACGTGGCGTCTCTGCAGAACCGCCGCGGAGCGTCCTGTGCTCGTCTGATGAAACGGCGGCCTCAGATTGAGCAACGTGATCTTTCTCACCGCGTTTCTGTGGAACTGGGTCACTCTTAAACCAACAAGGCTCTATTATTAGCAGCGCTCCACCTCCTCCTCCCACTGACCACGCTTCAGCTCACAGCTGGACTCAGGTGTGTTCAAACATCCTCATTGGCCGGTTTCATCTGGATTCACAGGGGTCGAGTTCAGCCGCCATGATGTCACCTGTCAGAAGTGCGAGCCGGACGCTCTGACCAATCACGTCCCAGAGCTCAGACTCCAGCGGTGTGTTAGCATCATTAACCTCGCAGCAGCTGAAGAGGTGCGATGGTGCAGAGGTTAGCACCATCACCTCCCAGCAGGTGGAGGCCTCTCTGCGTGGAGCATGTCCTCCCTGCTGCAGCCTGCAGACATGCAGGACGACCTGTCCAGGTGTACCGCCTCTCACCTGCGACAGCTGGCATAGAACCAGCAACCTGCTGAGCGTCAGTGATCACAGTGATTCAGACTCAAACACTCGAACATTCATCTTTATTTCATCTGGAGGCTTTTAAACTGAAAATCTGCTCCAACTCTGATTAAAGTGAATTTATTTACCAATGTTTCAGTTTCTCAGTGAACGCATCATCGCTGACCCGTGACTCATCAAATGTTCTGATTGGTGTGTCCCAGAAAACAAAACTCAAGCACTAAACTCCACCTCTACCCTCCTACATCTCCCATAATGCATCTCCCCCTCTCCCACCCGTTCACAGTGACATTAAAGAGTTTAATCCAGACGAGGAGCTGCTGGGCGTTCTTGCTTTTGGAGGTCGGGGCAGTGATCTGCTCGCTGATGTCAATTCTGTCTGACTCCGCCTCCTGTTAATCGACCACAGTCTTCTGGGCCTCGTACATCTTCCCTATGGAGACCTGCGCACACACAAACATCAAAGGATTTTAACTTGTTAATGGTTATTAACCTCGTCTGAATCATCGACGCAGACGTGGAAATATCCCCTCAGGGTCAGACCCACAGACC